TGAATAAAAGATGATAAATGAAACCGAATTCAAATTACTTTACAGAGCGACGGCAGAGAAGGTGTTTGGCAATAAACCCAAATTATAAATATCCAAAAATCCACCGTATTACACCCAAATCCAAATCACATTCAAAAGTTCAATTCAGCAAGTGACCATTTCCAGGATTCCATTGACGTTCGAACGCTATTGTCCGAAATTGTTGAAACCTGCGTATCGTTGTACCGATCGTATCGTAACGACGAGCATAAACACACGTCGAACACAATGAGAGATTTCGCCGGCAGTCACGCCGATGGATCGCGATAATTACGATAGAATAAGCAATTCAAGCTCGATAGAAAGTAACGACAATGTTCCGTGTTCGCTCTCGATGCACTCTGTTTTCGTTACATCCTCACATCTCACGCCCAACCCCTTCAGCCCCGGGCCTCCTGTTACATTAACGACGTAAGTCGTAAACTTCGAGCGAAACTTTTGAAATTCAAACGCAATTTAAAGCGGTCCTGGATCGCGAGCGTCCATTTTTATTCAGAGGGGTAATCCAATCGCTCCGGAGCTTCGATCAAATTGCATCCCCCTCCTCCCTCCCCTCGTTTCTTGATATCGACTGCTGTCAATCTTCCGACGAAACTGGATTATAACAAGTAACACGATTTTCAATCGGCGGTAACTATATTCGAAAGTCCCTAATTCGAACGCAACGCGGTTGATTCGATTGCGATTCAATCCCGATAGCCGATCAAGCCCGAATTATTTGCCGAACGATGTCTTGACCACTCGATGATTAACCGCTTGCGCTGAAACGACGTGTCGAGAATTTTTTGTCCCAAAATTGCAATATTCTCGCAGTTTTAAGTATATTTAAGTATATTTAAGTACAACCCAAAAGCAAAACAAATGATAAGTTTATTACTTCTCAATAATTTCTATCCAGCGATATCATACCGACGAATTCAAAAGAAAAAGAAAGCGACAAATTATTGTATACCGTTCGGTCACTCGTTATGGTCCGCAATCAGTTGCCAGCGCAAGTGGTTAACCTCTTTGTCCCAAAATTGTAATATTTTCTCAGTTTTAAGTATATTTATAAGTAAAACAAATAATAAATCTATTACTTCACAATAATTTCTATCTAGCGATATCACACCGACGAATTCAAAAGAAAAAGAAAGCGACAAATTATTGTATACCGTTCGGTCACTCGTTATGGTCCGCAATCAGTTGCCAGCGCAAGTGGTTAACCTCTTTGTCCCAAAATTGTAATATTTTCTCAGTTTTAAGTATATTTATAAGTAAAACAAATAATAAATCTATTACTTCTCAATAATTTCTATCCAGCGATATCATACCGACGAATTCAAAAAAAAAAGAAATCGACAAATTATTGTATACGGTTCGGTCACTCGTTATGGTCCGCAATCAGTTGCCAGCGCAAGTGGCTAACCTCTTTGTCCCAAATATTTTCTCAGTTTTAAGTATATTTAAGTAAAAATAAGCAAAACAAATAATAAATTTATTACTTCTCAATAATTTCTATCCAACGATATACCGACAAGTTCAAGAAGAAAGCGACGAATTATTGGTATACGGTTTGGTCACTCGTTATGGTCCGCCAGCGCAAGCGGTTAACCTCTGTGTCCCAAAATTGTAATATTTTCTCAGTTTTAAGTATATTTAAGTAAAAATTTATTTATTAATATTTTCTCAGTTTATTCTCTCAATTTTAAGTATATTTAAGTAAAAATAAGCGCACGTAATAAAAGAAAGAAATGACAGTGTTCAAGGCAACGAACGTTCAGCGATTAATAGAAAGCGGAAAATAGAAAAAGGAGGCAAACAAAGAGCCACGGACCCCCTCTCTTTGGACTCTCCGGTCTAAAGCAACTTCTTTATCCAGGGAAGTTTAATTACATCTTCGTCGAGCTTTGACACGATTACAGGGGACAAAAGTTCGGTTCGGGGGAGCGCGACAAAAAAGAAAAAAGGGAAAATATGCGCGCGAGACGAGCGTTGACTGTCGGTTCGCCAGCTTTCGACAGCGACCTCGCGTCGAGGATAATTTACATGGAAATGAGAATCGGCATTGATTTTACGTCGGAGCCAGTAACAGAACTAGCCCGGTGATAGATTGTCTCGCTACCTGATGTCGATCAAGTTTTCTTGTCGAAAAGCCAGAGTGAAATTCCCCCGCGTTGCCTCGCCATCGCGACGCGGCGCTCGCGCTTCCTTTGCCCCCTCCCCCTCGATCGAATCCGCGCCTCTTCCTCACCTCTTCCTCCGCGAACGCGCAGAGTAAATCCCCTCGCCCGGATCGATGATCCTCCGCGAGTGTGTCGAAGCACGCGCTTCGTTCCGCGGGTCGTTTTTTGCATTTTTTATCGCGTGCGGCCTCGCTCGCGCCGAAACCAGCGCGAGTTTTCAGCAATGGAGCAGAGAGCATTCGAAATGCGAATGGTACGAAATACACCTTGAATAGATCTTTCTTTTTTTTTTGTAACTGTGTCGAAATTTAAACCCGAGAAGGGTTTAAATAACCTAAACTTAAACCTTCGAGGACTGGTAAAAATCGCGATGCGCTCGATATTCGGAGAATGATATCTCAGTTAACACCATAATGGTGAAAATGACCGATTTGTAATTTTCGTTAGATTCTGCTAATTCTGCAGATGCGGAACAGTGTATTTTTTAGAGATTCAAATGATTTTTCATGAAATGTATCAATAAAAGCTCGTGCACCTCGTTTTATCTTTTTACTTTAACATCTCTGACGGAAATTTTGCACAAATTATTATTTTTAATTTTAGTTCCTTTTACTTCGTTTATACCAATTTCACTGATTGTGAGTTTCATTTTGTACATACGTACCTTTCTCTCTACCAAAAAAATCGACAAATATCAATTGGTGGTTTTACAGTTAGTAGCATTCGTATCTGTTGTTCCTATTGCTTGCTGATTCGCCCGATCAACAGCGTTTACACAGAAATTGGAAAGTGACGAGCTTAACGACCATTTCCTTCGACTTTTCACGGCTTCCGTGCCGTGACAAACGCGCGTGTCACGCGACGGTGAAATTGCGCCATTAATTTAACAAGCGACGCGGCACATATTTGCCCGTAATTTCCAGCAACGGGGGTCATTAAGGCGGCGCTTGTGTTTCTTACATAACCGTATTATCGAGAAATCTACAGGCCGGGAGAAATTGCCGAGTGAAATCGACGAGACTATAAGATCAAGCCGACACGCTCGCTTTTAACCTCTTACGCTGGCACCTGATTGCGGACCATAACGAGTGACCGAATCGTAAAAAATAATTCGTCGCTTTCTTTTTCTTTTGAACTCATCAATCTGATATCACTGGATGGAAATTATTAAGAGTAATAAACTTATCATTTGTTTTACTTGGGTTATATTTAAATGTACTTAAAAATGAGAAAATGTTGCAATTTTGGGACAAAAAATTCTCGACGTGTGTGGCACGTCATTCCAGCGCAAGAGGTTAACCACTTGACTGATTGCGGACCGTAACGAGTGACCGAACTGTACATAATAATTCGTCGCTTTCTTTTTCTTTTGATCTCATCAATCTAATATCACTGGATGAAAATTATTAAGAGTAATAAACTTATCATTTGTTTTACCTGGGTTATATTTAAATGTACTTAAAAATGAGAAAATGTTGCAATTTTGGGACAAAAAATTCTCGACGTGTGTGGCACGTCATTCCAGCGCAAGAGGTTAACCACTTGACTGATTGCGGACCGTAACGAGTGACCGAACCGTATGTAATAATTCGTCGCTTTCTTTTTCTTTTGATCTCATCAATCTAATATCACTGGATAAAAATTATTAAGAGTAATAAAGTTGTCATTTGTTTGGCTGGGTTATACTTAAATATACGTAAAACTGGGGAAATGCTGCAATTTTGGGACAAAAAATTCTCGACGTGCGTGGCACGTCATTCGAGCGCAAAAGGTTAACGCGTTCGCGGGTCACTGGTTCTCTCGTTCTTCCCCTGTGCAAAAAGGGTACGATCCGATTGAAGCCGACTCTCGAAAATATCGCCTGAAAGTTTCGACTCCGCAAAAATTATCCACGTTGTAATTCTAGAAAACGATAAAACATAATTTTAAAAAATAATCTCACTTCCATATTAAAATTATTAAATAAATAATAATTTGCAGTTTGCAGTTGCAAATCATGTTCTCTTGTCCTGTGTAAGGAGATGTTTAAAAGACATTCGTATAAAGATTGGTTGTCTTTGAATTGTAAATTCGCGAAGACGTGAAGAAATAATAGGCAAGACTTACGAATAGTCGCGATCTTCAAAACGAGACACCCGTTGCTTCCTGTTTCGAAGCTCGTCGAACGGGCTGAAAAATCCGGCCCGGCCAATAAGCCCCGGTGAATATCCATAAAAATGTCGGGACATGTTCCCGAAACTTTAAATCGTTGGCTATTATTCCGACGAGGAGCAGACGAGCCGGCCGAAAGTTTCCCGATAAATCATCGGTGAAAAAACCGAACTGGCGGCGGTCGAAGGTTGGAGGGATGGTAGGGGTAAGAGGAGTAGAGGGGAGGGGAGAACGAAAAGGGCGGAGTTGCGAAACTAATAAATATTAATAGCGCGTGTATGGTTACTTCATAATCGATCGGAAACCTTTTTTCGCCGACCGTTCTTCCAGAACAATTCGAATCGGAGTTTTTCTTTTTTTTTTTTTTTTTTTCGAAAATCACCACGCGCAGACAGAGTTCTTACTAATTGGTTCGTTTTATTCCGGCAATAAAAAAAAAGGATACTGCAGGATAAATTCGACCTTCGCGCTGCGTGAATCCTCGTAAATGTCGCCGGTTATTGTGCAGTGATATCTAGCACGCACGCAGTTGACCAAAAAAAAAAAAGAAAGGAAGAATGAGTGGGAGCGTAACAGGAATTAGTTTGCAATTGTAACGAATAGTGCGCGAGAGAACGCGATTTAGATACAGAGAATGAATGGATCTCAGTCGTAATACAGGCCGAACACGCAACACCACGCGTGAATGTGGTTATTTTCGAAGACATAATAGGAATAATTGTCCCGTTCCACGTCCCAGAGGCACTGAAACGCTGCGTGCACGCTCTGATCGGAACGTTGAACTATGGTCACCTGCGCCACTAATTTATACCTTCAAGGAGAGAAACCAATATTACCATACACGCAAACATAAAGGGCATCATAACGTAATAATCGGTTTTTTTTTTTTTTTTTAATTCAAAATCGCGCGTTATTGTTAACTATCAAAATGACCAATTTATGATTTCTGTTTTTAGAAATTTTACAGACGTGAAATGTATTTTATAGACATGAATGACTTTCGACCAATAATGTATTCAAATGAAAGCTCGTGCCATTTATTGTATTGCAAAGCTTTTTCATTTTGTTTTTTTTTTTTCATTTTATATAACGTTTCTGATGAAAATTTTACGCTTCAGTCGTCAATAGCTCTGGTGTTAATGATAACGGGATCAATAACGAAGGGCACGGTAAAATATTTCAAAATACAGGGTGATTCTCAAGAATGGCAAGAGATAAAAAGTTGTAGATGCAACTTTTTTTTTTTTAATAGAAACGTGTATCTTTTTACGCGTTACTCGATGTAATACGAGCTAGACGGTCTCTGTAAAAAGTGCATTAATCTATGTATATTGAGAAATTATCAGTTTAGAAGATACTTTAACTTTGATTTTGTTAAAGTTCCAATTAAAATTTTATAATTTCCTCGTCTCTTTGAAATTAAAATTAATTATTTTTCGACGTATCTTTTCATAATATATCTCGATATATCTTTCTGCATTGTTGATTCTGATATTTTATTTAATATCTTTTTACAATATCTTTCATAAATTAATTACAACATCTCGAGCTTCATCGATTGACACATAAAAACATACACAATTTCAGTTTTTAAAATCTACATTTTCTCGTCGTTGTATTTTTACAAAAAGAAAAAAAAAAGTAAACCAGTGAAAGAGCTTAGTAAGATCCTCTTACACCAATCAATTCTCTGGACAATTTTTTTTTTTCTCTTTTGTATCCCTTGTCATCTTCTTGGGACGTAGCTCGTCGCAATTGCGAGAGAATCACCCTGTGTCGTACTATGTCATAGTTATTCATATTACAAGAACATCAGGCAGAGTGAAAACGTTACTTTCACCCCTCGGTTACCTTTCCAGCCTCGTTTGCCTGGTTGTCGAACCTCGTCGAGCCTCGAATTAAAAACAAGAGGAACGATCTCCAGCGACAACAGCTGTTACGGAAGAATTTACGAGCATGCCGCGAGCTAAACCCGCTCGAGAGCCGTTGGCATCGTTCCGCGTTTATTGCGGGGGAACGCGAACGTGTCAAGCATTACTACCTGTCGTAATCCTTCTTGCAGAGCGCGTTTTGCAAATCGGATCCAATCTTCAGGCACAATTTCGCCATGTGATTCGGATGATACGACGTCACCGGGGACAGTTCGCTCACCATCGTCTCCATCACCATCTTGTCCACCGCCTCGACGTCGAACGGGTTGAACGACATGAGTCGATAAGTGTTCTGATACCTCGGGATCTACACTTCGTCGAATTTTTTTTTTTTCGTACGTACAATATATCTTTCTAATCATTTTTATTAACATTGGTTCAGTCATAAATAATTTCCGTTTCGGTGAAACAGTTTTGTTTAATATTATTATAAGTATAATATATTTATGATAATGTTAAAAGAAAACAATATATAAAAGTAATATGTATTGTACATAATTTATAATTATAAATATAATATATTTATAATAATAGTAAAAGAAATAATATATAAAAGTAATATGTATTGTATAATATATATATATATAATAATATTAAAAGAAATAATATATAAAAGAAACAACAATTTTATAATAATATATTATAAAAATATAAATATGTTATTTTATAATAATATATTTATAATAATATTAAAAGAAATAATATATAAAAGAAACAACAATTTTATCCCAATTTAGTGATTAATATCCGTCAGGTAGCTTGTTGATGCCTTAGAACAATGGTGGCGCGTTTCTCATGTTGGCACATAAAGCAAGTTTTGATAAGAAACAGAAAGAATGATATAAGATATAAAAATATTGAAATTAACTCGACTAAGAGTTTTAGGATTTAGTTTCGATATATCGTCGTGATTAGTTTGCTTTAGTTTTTTAAAAGTTTGATACTCTCCTTCCTGTTTCCACAAGTGATGTTAACGTGATCAATTTTTAGAAGATCCCAAAGCTTTTCTAAACCTCAAAAGTTTGTACAAAATATATGTGCCTATTTTATATTTTAATATTAATTAAGAATAAGAATCGAATTTAAAGAATTCACAAATAATTTGGTCGAAAGCAGACAGGCTCATAAATCCCATTTAAAAAATAAGCTATTTTGTCTTTTTCTAATGTCCTTCTTATATGTTTACTATTTATAAACACATTTTTGTTGTTAAAATAATTTTGTTTCTCCAAAAGAACTGAGAAATTTATTATTTAATTCCATTGTGTAGATTATTGTATATTATTTAATTTATGTATACTCCTGTACACAAGACTGAGATTTATCGAGTTTTACCAGTCATTAAGATGATAAATGCATTTCATTACAATTTGTTCCCAAAAGTGAAAATTATTTACAACTCAACCTAAATAGACGTAAAATGTTTTTGAAGTTATGTTCAAACAATATCGTGTAAATACGTATGTAAGTGTGTCTAAATAGATGTAAGATGTCTTTGAGGTTATGTTCAACCGCTGTCGTGTAAATACGTAAGTGTGTCTAAATAGATGTAAGATGTCTTTGAGGTTATGTTCAAACAATATCGTATAAATACGTATGTAAGTGTGTCTAAATAGATGTAAGATATCTTTGAGGTTATGTTCAAACAATATCGTGTAAATACGTATGTAAGTGTGTCTAAATAGATGTAAGATATCTTTGAGGTTATGTTCAAACAATATCGTGTAAATACGTATGTAAGTGTGTCTAAATAGATGTAAGATATCTTTGAGGTTATGTTCAAACAATATCGTGTAAATACGTATGTAAGTGTGTCTAAATAGATGTAAGATATCTTTGAGGTTATGTTCAAACAATATCGTGTAAATACGTATGTAAGTGTGTCTAAATAGATGTGAGATATCTTTGAGGTTATGTTCAAACAATATCGTGTGTCTAGATGTAAGATGTCTTTGAGGTTCAAACAATATGTTTGAGGTTATGTTCAAACAAATACGTAAGTGTGTAATATGTGAGTTTGTTAATTCGAAATCTCTGAAAAATTCGACAACTTTACTCGAATTTATTTCACGTACCTTCTGTCGATCACCACGTTTGTGAAAAAACACGCGACTCATTGAATTCATTATAGAAGACTGCATCGCGGACAGCCTCTTCTTGCTCTGAAGCAGGACATCGATGTCTTTAATCGATCCGACGAAGTCGGGATTAACCTACTGAATCAAACTGTTAGCTCACGTCGTTGAACTGCACTTGTCTCATTCTTTCGGATTTCGACATGGTCGACGCCTCGGAACGAAATTTCGAATTTCGGTAGACATCGGTGTTTTTGCTCTGCTGCTGATTCATAATTACACGCGAGGTACACAGTCCAAACGGACACGAAAAGCCTGGAAAAGTCGTTTCAACGCGATCGGACAAAAGAGGGTCAATGAGGTGAAATCTCGGCGTTTCGAAAAATTTTCAAATGACATTGTTTCTCATATTACGTTTCAAAGTTATTTCAGAAACAATCTATTTGTAAAATAACGAAATTTTATCATAAAATATTAAATATATTATATAGCATAATATATTATAGCATATTAAATATTTCACGTAGAAATTAAATTAATTTATTTCCAGTCAAATGATTCATTCGTCATTTCGCAAGTTATATTAATTTTAAAAATTCAAAATTTCCCATCATCAAACAAATATTATTTTCTCAAATAATTGATCCCCCAGTTTATTATTTTCCCAATTATCTGCATAATTTGAAATTCCTTTCAATTGACCAAAACGAGCTACGTATCATTAATTAACTGAAATCCATTATATGCTATTAATGCTTAAAACACGTTATCTCAGAAATTTATTTACGATTTTATGATTTTTCTGAGTGAAACTTACGTCGCGGGTATATCGAGGAACATAAACGCGCGAAGATTTCAGTGGCAGAGTGGATGTCGCGGCATCAATCGGTGATTTAATTTTCGCTCTATCGCGGACACTCCGCCGGTGAATGCAATCTCCCGCAGTTAAACTCCCAACGTTAAAGTCTAAATTCAATTGCGAGCCGGCGACCTCCGGGTGCAATTCACATTTCAACGTGGATGGATCTCGACCTCTTCGGTCGAGAAGCTGAAACAATAAGACGGAGGACACGAAGAGCACAGTTCGTATTGCGGCCGGCAGTCGGCCCCGTTGTGCAAAAAGCAAACAACACGCTGTGACTCTTAATTTATCCTGAACGTAAGAAGCTTAGCAGCGGGAGTAGAGAACCTTGAAAGAAGTCCTCGAGAAATCGCGTCTACTTATATTTTATTTCAATTTCCCTCGTCTCGCGCACTTTAGACGCGCGGGGATTACCCACCGGGTGGCGGGGAAATCGCGAAGCATAAAGAGGAGCCGTATCCGTTTCTTCTTTCGTCTTTTCGATCCGCTTCTCTGTTCGCGTAATACCTACACATTATCGCGGGAAAACTTCCCTGTTCCCTCCCTCTTTCCTCGAACTTCAGCCAGGTCATTTGAGTACGTAAGCAGTCAGTGAGTTACGTTGAAGTAGTATCGTTATCGTTCAATTTTTAACAACCTCAATTGATAACAAATTTCTCCGACTTTCCACAGGGTGGAAAGAAAAGTATGTGGAAAGTTCGTGGCTATGATAGACGAATTCTACACTTTCGATTTGATGGAAATACGTGTAAGGAATCTGCCGCAGAGTTGATCTTGAACTTGAATTTCAAGGTCAAAAATTTTTTCCTTTTGTATTCCACTCGTCACGAAGGTAAAACTTTCCCAAGGAACTATAGGTCGCAACCTAATAGCTCTCTTGAAAAATGGCAAAAAAATTAACATTGTGGACGCGTGCGTTCTAACAGCGACTTTATGCTTCTCAATTGGATTTCACTAACATTTGATTTATCATAATCGTAGTATCAGTGCGAGTCTAAACAATCAAACGCTAAACTGTTAATGTTATTCGAAATGTAAACGTTACATGTATGCGTCCAGAACCATAAAGTCGCTGTTAGAACGCACTTGTACAGTGTGGAAAGAAAAGTTTGTCTGCCTATCATAAATGAATTTTGCACCTTCGATTTGATGGAGATACATGTAAAGAACCTACCGCAAAATTGATCTTGAATTTCAAGGTCAAAAATTTTTTCTTTTTGCATTGTATTCCACTCGTCACGAAGGTAAAACTTTCCCAAGGAACTATAGGTCGCAACCTAATAGCTCTCTTGAAAAATGGCAAAAAAATTAACATTGTGGACGCGTGCGTTCTAACAGCGACTTTATGCTTCTCAATTGGATTTCACTAACATTTGATTTATCATAATCGTAGTATCAGTGTGAGTCTAAATAATCAAATAATAAAATATAAAACTAACTGTTAACATTATTCGAAATATAAACGTTTACATCCTCACGTTCGGAACCGTAAAGTCGCTGTTAGAACGCTTTCCTCGATTACTACAGAATTCTTTACAACGAATCTTCAAACGAGGAAACCAACAAAAACCGACTGTTATCGATTTTTCCAGGAGACCTGCTGTCTGCGAATTTCCTCGCGAGACATTGAAGCTGAGAAAGAAAAGGAAGAAAACAGAGAAACGATAATTGCGAGGATACTCTTTCATCAATCGATAATTCGTGATCTCACGGACAAAATGGCACTCCGGAGTACTCCGGAAATTACGGTCGCCTTGTTCGAGCTCATTAACTCCGAGCCGGCGTTGCGAGTCGTTAGATACCGTAAGGAAGAAACTTGCAGACTTGTGCAACTACCACCTCGTATAACAAATTTACCAAAACTCTCCGAAATCGTCCGTTGCCCTGGCAGACACCGTTTTCAAACCTCTTGAAACGGAACTTAACTTTCGGATAACGAACGACGAATTCGAATTCGCGAGTTCGAGAAAGTAAGTTCCTCGAGGAAAAATCGTTTGCCTCGTCGTTCAAGGACGTTTCTTGAGTTCACGTCTCTATAACGTGTTTCCTTCTCGTAGTTGAGGAATTCATGGTAGAATTTAAACTGATTAAATTAAAGTCGAACGTGAAAAGTGAAGGAATGTTATCGCAAAGTTGCACGCGCGGCATTGTTCAGCGTATGTATATACGTAGTTGGCAGTCAAAAGTCTATCGATCTCCCCTCGAATTGCACGCCATTTCGTTTCTGCATAATTTAAATTCTTGACGTAACAGAATCGTCAGCGAGTGAAACGTGAAATTCTCATCGGAGAAATAATGCGAATAATGAAACAACTCTTTGTGTATCAAACACAATCGCCAGTAATATATTTGTGACGAGCGTAACAATGAAGAATTATCGATCATTTAAACTGACATAATTTCGTAAAAAAAAGAGGAAGGAGAAGAAGGTCTCCCTTCTTGATGAACTTGAGCGAACTGTAAAAACTGTAAAAAATCGAAAACTTTGTTTCACAAAACTAAATTGTATAAAACTGTGGTTTTCAAAATTAAAATTTCCTCTTTACAACGAACTTAAATTTCTGCCATCTTCATCGTAAAGTGCTACTCTGTAGCTGTTAGGTTTCAGGACAAATTTCAGGTCTGTAATTTAAGACTTTTCTACTTGGGATTTAATATTCTTTCGATTCATAATGAAAAAGAAATGTATGGTCAGATTAAAAAAAAAAGAGAGAAATAAAGACGACCTTGGGAATTTCGAAACCCACAAAAAAATTTAACCCAAAAGATTGAAACCCCCCCCCCCCCCCCCCCCTTGAAACAACTTTTGTGTCAGACAATTTTTCATTAGACGCGTAATTTAAAATTTTTATGCAAGTTACCTGAATTGAATCGCTCTGGTATACACGCACCATCCTTGTAAATACTTGTCACAAATCTTCTCCAATTCGCGTGCGATCTTCATCCGATATAAATGAAAAGAAATCTTACCTTCTTCGGGTCCAGTTAAAGCCCCGGCCCCCGTCAAAGGAGACTTTGCGAAACGATACTCGTCGAGTCGAGTTGATCTTACAGTGCTAGTGGTTGGACAGCGCGAGAGATCCGTTAGAAGGATGAAGGAGAGTAGGTATCCCGTGGTAACGGCAATTTCTGACCGGAAATTCCAGCGATCGTGCGGTCGGACAGTGGCACGCACCGGGAGTCAAGGAGACAACACGGCTCGTCCACTCTCCACCCTCCCCCCCCTCCCATGAATTTACATCGGGCGACGTGTCTCCCTATCTCCGTTTCGCGGCAGTCGCCTAACAGATGCTTCCGCGTGATTTGCATAAAATGAGACTGTTCGCCGGTGTGTATATGCACCCACCTTCCAAAAGGGGGGGGGGAGGGATGCTACGTGCGCGCGGGCACGCATAGTCGGACTTTAGAACTGTCCCTTCCATTATCGGAAAACGTGGCCCGGATTTAATACCCGGGTAAGCCGGTTAATCGTCCGGGCCGTGTCGATGCGTTAACGTTACATGGAAATTAACTTAGAGCCTCAAAAATCAAACCGGCAGCTCTGCCCACCTCTGTTTCCATTCAAATCGATAGAGGGGGGGGAGGGGGGAGGGGGGGAGGGAAGAAACGATCACGATCGAATAACAGTATAATACACGGGATCAATGTTGATTAACAGATATATTGTGTCTATTAACAAAATGGTTAATCCTTTTTTCTCTCTCTCCATTTTTTTTTTCTTTTTTTTTTTTTTTTTTTCTTTAATCTCGTAATCATACGAATCGCAAGGTATTTATTATTCTACAGGAATAGTACAGTCGAAGTTCCGAGAGGTGTTCGGACGAGTTACGAAATTCGCGGCACGACGCGGCGCCAACGTAACGAATCATCTCCCCCTCGATAATGTAATATTTCGGCGCGCGCGCGCGCCCCCCCCCCCCCCCCGGTGGTTTTTCGATAGAGGATTTTCCGGGATTCATAGAAAATTCAGTTCGCGCGATAAACGTCGAAGCTCGTAAATCACAAAGCCGAGGCCTCCTCTCTCTCTCTCTCTCTCTCTCTTTCTTTCTCTCTCGATGTATTTATGTCATCCGACGCGAAGCGGACGTGTGACGCCTTGACAGATAAAAGCGAGCCACGAAAGACGAAGAAGAAGCTCGCTCACCGAAATATCGTGTCCACCAGCACGACCAGGCTGAATAAAATCACTCTCCTGTTGATGTTCCCGGTGCCGCCGTGCTGCATCGCCGCAGGATGCTCACCTAGAAAAAGAAGCACACTGTTCACCGAGGTTCGATCCACGGCGTTGGAACTGGGGCAACGACGGAAGGGAGAGAAAATTTTTTTTCTCCCCCTCCCCCCCTCCACCCCCGCGCGCGCGCGAGTCTCGAAAATTTCCAACCGGCCAGATGAAATTTACATAACGAGAGTAGCTCCCGTGGTTTAATTTCAATTCCACCAGGTTGTTCCCTTTTTTTTTTTTTATCTTTTTTTTTTCCTCTTTCTCCCTTCCACCCCCCCCCCTCCCCCCTCGAACGTTCCCGATTTGTTCATTACCAGCTCTAACGAGAAAACTCGCGAGTTGCGCCACGCGAGTTTACAACAATCCAACAACGTCCCAAGGTTTTTCAAACGCGGTAGAACACGCAGCGAGCGTTCTACCGTTTCCCTCTTATCTCTCCTTTCCTCTCGCGTACTATTCGTTCGCCACGCGACTGTTCCGCTCGAGTTTACAAACTTTGAGACGCGACGAACCGATCGAGAAAGCTAAAATGTTCCTCCGGCAAGTGTACAACGAGGCTCCCTTCATCTCGCGGGAAGAACATGTTCTTAAAGTATATCTCGGCGACGACGATGGCTTTGATGCCTCGACGGAATCTCGAGAGCCTGATGGAATAAAGGCTGGGTTTCCCTCCCTTCGAGGGCTTCCCCTCGCGATCTAATCTTGAGCCAGGAGTGTTTTACCCTCGTGTTTTTTTTTCATCCTCACCGTTCAACACGTGAACCATCACGTTCGCCGGCGCGACTTTGCTCGAGACGCACGTGTAATTGCCGCTGTCGTCGAGCTGGGCGCGCGTGATCAGCAGCTTGCTGGTGGTCCCGTTCTTACCTTTCTCCGTTTCCAGCGAGACGCCACCCCTGTCGAAGGTAAAGAGGTGACAAAGTTATTAAAACGTTGTTGGCCAGGCCACGAGTTAACTCGTGTTCTTCTGCACTTGTAATTAACTATTTTTTTAATCGTCGACACTCGGCGTGATACAGGATTATATTGTGAAATCTTTCTTCGTGTTCACTTTGTTAGAAAAAAAATAATAAATCTTTTCTAAATTCTAAAAGAAGTTACCCTTACGTTGGCATCATCTTTTAAGCTTTATTATAAAAGAGATAATAAATTATAATTAATAAATAAATAATAAATTATAAAAAATAATAAATCTTCTGATACTTTTAAAAGAAGTCCCCTTACGTTGGCATCATCTTTTAAGCTTTATTATAAAAGGGATAATAAATTATAATTAATAAATAAATAATAAATTATAAAAAATAATAAATCTTCTGGAACTTGTAAAAGAAGTCCCCGTACATTGATTCATCTTTTAAGCTTTATTATAAAAGAAATAATAAATCTTCTGGTACTTCGAAAAGAAGTCCCCTTACACTGCTTCGGCTTTCAGGCTTTCAGGGCAACTAAAAGACCACGTTTTAGAAAAAAACAGTCACTGGTATAAAAAGAAATCAGAACGTGCAGAGTATGCTATTCAAAAGGAAATCAGATATACCTTGCAAAATCTGTTGTGTACCATTACACGTAGGCAATTGCTATACAGTTTGTCGCACAAAAAAAAAAAAATTACTAAAATATATTATATGTATAAAATATAATATCTACATCAAATACAAGATTCTACATCTATTCATTCTGTATAAATAAAGTGTATATTGAAGTTTATTTAGATTGTTTCACTTTCGTACTCAATTACAAAATAATAGCCGGTAACGTAAGATGGCTTCTGCGTAAAATTGCCAGTAATCAATGTGCCGGTGAAATTCGTCTCGATGCAACGTTTACCGAATCGAGTAATCAAGCCAGCCTCTGATTTCTTTGTCGACCGAGTCTCTCTTTCTTTTTCGTTTGTTCTCTTTCTCTTTGCGTTGCGACAGAGACGGAAGGTTCATACGCACCTTGGACCGTCGAAATCGATCATCGCCCCGGCGTGGTACCAAGTCACGTTACTCGGAGGTATATCCTGCACGTCCACGATACAGGTCAGGCTGATCGTGCTGCCCCTCTTTACGTAGAGCTCCTCGGGGCCCGTGATCTTTGCCTGCACATCTAATATCAATCAACGGGATAGAGGGAAGCGTGGAAAACGACTGTTTCGATGCAGTGACAAATTAAAACGGGAGCTCGCGTGTCTTCCCCCCGCCGATCCAAAGCGGTTCCCCTTTGCGAAAGTTCACGAGACGAGATCCAGAACCGGATAAACCGCCTATGAATAAAGAATCGATGAATAAAAGATACTGCCGAGTGAGTGAAATTTATTCATAGCCGTTTCATTATTTTGGTAGAAGAAGTAGAAGAACTGGAAGGGCAGCGAACACGTTGAGGAAGGCGATATTTGTGTACTGCGGACCATAACGAGTGACCAAACCGTATACCAATAATTCGTCGATGTGACATCGCTGGATAGAAATTATCGAGAAGTAATAGATTTATTACTTATTTTGTCTATTTTTACTTAAATGTACTTAAAACTGAGAAAATATTACAATTTTGGGACACGGAGGTTAACCGCTTGCGCTGGCAACTGACTGCGGACCATAACGAGTGACCAAACCGTATACCGATAATTCGTCGCTTTCTTTTCGAACTCGTCGGTGTGACATCGCTGGATAAAAATTATTGAGAAGTAATAAATGTACTTAAATCTGAGAAAATATTACAATTTTGGAACACAGAGGTTAACCGCTTGCGCTGGCAACTGACTGCGGACCATAACGAGTGACCAAACCGTATACCAATAATTCGTCGCTTTCTTTTTGAACTCGTCGGTGTGACATCGCTAGATAGAAATTATTGAGAAGTAATAAACTTATTATTTGTTTTACCTGGGTTATATTTAAATGTACTTAAAAATGAGAAAATATTGCAATTTTGGGAGAAAAAATTCTCGACGTGCGTGGCACGTCATTCCAGCGCAAGAGATTATCCAATTGCGCTAGTATCTAATTGCGGACCATAACGAGTGACCAAGGCATATACCAATAACTCGTCGCTTTCTTTTTGAACTCGTCGGTGTGACATCGCTGGATAGAAATTATTGAGAAGTAATAAATTTATTACTTGTTTTGCCTAGTTTTACTTAAATATACTTAAAACTGAGAAAATATTACAATTTTGGAACAACAGGTTCTCGGCGTGCGTGGCACGTCATTCCAGCGTTAATTGAAACACGATCCCCGAAGCGAGGAAGAAGAAGGTGTTCAAACGGTACGAGATTAATGATGCAAAGTATAGACACCACCGGTGTCTCTCTCGTCTCTCTCTCGGGAAGTTTCGCACGACAAATTCTTCTACACGCTAAACTAAACTGAACGAACGAAAAGCGAAAATTTCTTTCGCGAAGGAGAAACAAGCATCGTACAAAGAGGATATCCGGGGAAAAACTCACCCAAAACTTTCAAGGTGATCGCCCTGTATATCTTCGGTTCTGTATTAACTTGACACTCGTAAATGCCGGCGTCCCGCGGTTGCACGTAATCTATTCGCAGATTCCAATCGTCGTGCTCCGGATTGCCGACTATCGTAAATCTTGCGTCGCTGGTGTAAGTCACCGACATGGACGTTAGGATGTGTAAATCCCTCTTTCGAATCCAAGACACCTGAGACAAATTCCACGAATGAGACGTGGAATACGTCTATTTCCCTTTTGCAAGCGCCCCCTTTCCCTCCTCCTATCTCCTATATGCGAGAATATGCATGTGAATCACGCTTCCTGCTTCTTGCTTACGATCTCTAACCCCCGAAAATTTCTTTGTCGACTCGTGCTCGAAACCAACGTGGATTGAAATCGTTTGGAAAGAAGGAACAACTTTCTGCGATAAAAAAAAAAAAAAAGAAAATGTGGCAGTAGGAGAAGCTCGAAGGAGGGAAAAACATTCGTGCAAAAGCAACGCGCTAATTATTTATCCATTAACCGGGGGGGAATTAGGTGAACATTCGTAATTACGTTAAAATCACTCGCGCCACGTCGCTTTGCGTTTCGGATAACGTCTTGGGGCGACGATACTCTCTCTTTCTCTAATGGTAATTAACAATCAGTTGAAACGTTTACGCGAGGCAACAAACGAACTCTGTTCGTTTCGCAGCTCCTCTCTTTTTAGCCAGCCCCCTGTTGAGAAAAACTTCGTGAATTTCTTACTACTAATTCTGCAAAACACTTCTGTATTTCAAATAGTTCTCCACTGGCTTAAATATTCACCAGAATTCTGAATTTTATTTTATTTTCTTTCTTATAATTACTTTTCTGTGACAAAACGTAATGTGGATTTCACGAAAAACAGCGTGACTCTTGCTTGACTCGATTGTTACGAGTAAAAAACAAAAACTATATAATAATTCGGAGTCTATTTGATTTCCTTTTACGTAAGTATTTTAATTTTGCTTCATCTTAAATAGTCCAACAGCCAAATTTTCGTATCTTACGAAAAATCTTTGCGATTTTTTTTTTTTTGAAAATCCAATTGAATTCAGTTTATTCGTGAAGCAACGAATTTTTTTCTTAAAATTTGATTCGTAAAATTCGATCTCGTTCGTAATTGCGAAGCGTGCAAGCGTGACACTATCATTCCAAGGAGTAACTTGAAACTCACGGTTCTGTTCCCCAGGTTCTTAACACGGCACAACAGCACGACAGTCTGCCCCACGACGGCGGTCACTTTTTGGGTTGAATCTTTATAAAAATACGTCCTCTTCGTCCCACGTTGCGAGCTGCGTTCCCCTTTATCGGGCTTCTCCCCGTCGAATCGTTGCACCGCTAAAATTCAGGCATCACCTTGAACATCATCGTACAGCTTTGCCCCCTTTCGTTTACAAACTTCTACCTCTGGTCTACTTCTTTTTTTTTTTTTTTTTTTTTTTCGAAAAAGAACTACCGAGTGCAATTGAAAAATAAGTGCCAAAAATACCGCCAGCGGTATTGTAAATTTTTTACTGCTGTAGAAAGACTGAACGATGTGGTGAATTTTTCATTGAAATTGCAAAATTGCAAACGGTACGATAGATGAACATATCGAGACACGTTTATTAAAATTTTCAAGTTCCCCTGGGAAGCACATTTCTTTCGAATTGAATCGCTTTGGTCGTAAATATTGAATGCGATTCATTACGTTGCGCTGTTTGTAACTGTTACAAGTAATTTCTCTACATTCTTGGATCTTTATCTCGTTCGACTCTCTGGAACGTGGTTCCACTTTTTCAATGCTCGAACCTGCATTGGTGAGACTTGGCGAAGTTTTGTACATATTTCAAGTAATTAAAAAAAAAATAGTAAGTAACAAGTTAATAAGTAAAGTAATAAGTAATTAATAATAAATAGTAATAATAAGTAAAAAAAAATATATATATATACACACATATATATATATATTTTTTTAATTACTAATATATATATTTTATCACAGTTACGTGTATATATATATATATATAACTTATTATTATTATTATTTATTATTAATTACTTATTATCTATTACTTTACTTATTATTTTTATACTTACTATTTTTTTTAAATTACTAATATATATATTAGTAAATATTAATATATATATATTACTAATACTAATATATAGATTAGTAAATATTAATAAATAATATATAAATATTAATACATTTACTTACTATATTTTTTTAATTACTAATACATATATTTTATCACAGTTTACAACTAAGAAAAAAAAATTGTATATATATATATATATTGACGCCATCACTTTCTGACTTCAAATTTGGCACTTCAAAATACCAAAATCTCTCTCAGACAAAATAAAATATCTCTCGATTCGCGACCAATTGTCAAGTTGTCCCGGTATTACGTGCAAATTACCCCTTTGACTGTTTATTTCGCGTTTTAGCAAGTACTTAGCTCTTATCATCTCAGCTGACGAATTCTAACAGCGATCTACGAACGAGTTTGCGCGTCAGGACAATATAGTTCCCCCCCCCCTTTTTTTTTAGCTATCCTCGATAGAAATATGGGCTCTTAAAGAATGGAACTACCCTCGGAATATACCCGAGCAGAAAAAAGCCGTTATAGCTCGCGGTGGAAGAAGTAGCAACTGCCGGGCCACACATGTGTATGTACGTCAGATTCGACGATAAGAGGGGGGGGGGGGCGTGATATCGCGAGCCCACGCGCTCAGGTGCGGTGAAAGGAAGCGAAATTCCGCGAGAGGCGCGGAACCTTATCGCTTGTAAATGCACCAAACGTTCTCAAGCGATCTAACTCGTTCTTCGAGTTAACTGGTTAACTTTGACGTTCGTCGTGTAAGAGAAGGCATTTTGTTTTTTTTTTTTTTTTTTTTTTTTTTTTTTTTTCTTTTCGAACGAAGAACATTGAAAATTTGATATCGTCTTTGGCCTAGAAATATTCGTGAATGTTGGAATACTTTGGGACTGCGACGAAGTAATGAAAATAGAAAAAGAAGAGCTGTACGTAGCAGATAGAAAAATAGAAGAGAATAGAAAAAAAAAGATAATAGAACAATAGAAAGATAGTGGAAAAAAATAGATAAGAATAGAAAAAAAAAAGTTGCATGTAACAGAGAAATCCAGTTTCTGCGTTTTTTCGTAATTTTTAATCACTTTTCCTCTACGTTTTTCAATTTTTCTAATTTCTTTTCTTTTAGGAATTAATGTTCTAAAAGGAATTTCTTCGTGGATATTCGAATTTTAATTAACAATTACGCGACAATTGCTAATAATATATTTATAACAACTCAATAACATCTCCGAATTTGAACACTAATAAAACCAACCGCCGTACAACAAAATTCAATTTACTTGCAATCTAATCAATAATTCTTAGCTACGCAGCTCACAGGTTGAAAGTAAAGATTTCCATTGAAAAAACGAATTTCCTGTTCAGTGTGTCTTCATATCAAACTCACCGCGACGCGAGCAAGACGATTCAACGTAATTTAATTCGCATAAATCTCATCGTGGACGTTAATTGATAGTGTATGTAAACGCGGTAAAATGAAAACAAGGAACTGAAGATTTTCGCGAAGAAAACTGACAATTAACGCTGACAATCCGGATGAATGATGATAAATGTTGTATAATGCTCGTAACTAGCCTGGGAACACTCTCTGCACTCGAGCTGCAGAATGCAAGATTTCTTTTTTTCACAGACACATATGCAAACCGATTATTGATACGTTATTATTATTATTATCATCATTATTATTTTGTTGTTGTTGTCATTATTATTATTATATTAATTTTAATAATTCATTGTTATATTTTTACACTTTAGTGACGATAATTCAAATTTAATGATTAAAAATTGGTGGGCGATATTTGTTTTACATTTGAGGCTTATATATATATATACTTACATTAAGTAAGCTATTGAAGCTTATATATACTTACATTAAAATCTTCTCGTTATCTACTAAATATTTATTATAATAAGTAGACTGCGATTCCTATGCAAATTTGCATATTATTTTCTTAAATATAATTTACGAAGTAACAACTCATTCAAGTGCAACAAATTTATTACCGTATTTTGGGCATTTGACGCAGTTCTGAGCACTTTGAGTAATAAGTATACACGCATAAACAAAAATCTACAGCTCGACTGTAGCAGACGCTGTCATTTCGAATATTTTATATATTTTTGTGCTGCACGCGTCCTGTTGAATCTGAAATTTCCCACATATCTCCAAACATTTGCGTTCTATCAATAATCAACTTGCACACGATATTACGCAAGCACATTTACATACAATACATGCACAAGCATTTCGACAAATACGTGAAATGGGACTGTTCAATCTAATTCTAGCCTCTGATCTTACCTCAGGCGAGGCACAGTGATATTTACATGTATGTATGTATGTATCTCAATTAGGAGTGGAAACATATTCATGTATTTAAATGCAGTTTGGTCATGAATCCTGGAAGAACATGTACTGATAGAAATGCACTTTAATGTTTATGATAATATTTATTGGCACACATAATTAAATCGGTAAATAATATAGTATATAATACACTATAATATGGTATAATAAGTAGTATAATAATAATGTAATAATTCTACTATGATTAATATACTGTGGTATAATACTATATATTATTATTAGTATAATATATATAATATACTATATATTACAACTATAATATACTATAATATATATAATACTACAGTATACTATATATTATAACTATAGTAATACTATATATTATTACTAATAATAATAAATATGTGATTTATATGTATCTTGATTGAAATATCTATGTACATATATTTTGTATAGACAATTAACCTTTAAAGGGCCAGAATTTTTACATGAGAAATTATGTATAGTAAATGTAACCGACACGTCCCGCCAAATCTCCAAGTTTGTTTCTGTAGTCCACTATAGTAACTAGTTTCAAAAAATCAAGTGAATTTCAATGTACATATCTGTTCCATATCGAGATTATAGAGCGATCGACACACATTCTAAATTTCACAAAGTGTCGAGATTTTGACGCAGAATTTAAACAACGTAGCTTAAATTTCTTTTCTTTCTTTTTTTTTCTTTTTTTAATTTTAATCTCATTTCAGCGGATCGTTTCAATCCGGCTACTGCAAGAAATGAAAGAATATTCCTCCGTTATATAAAGTTCGAAGAGTGGCAAAAATATTTCAATCGTTCAATCGTTCATTAAACTGCGAGTAATTAAAGTCATCATCGAATCTAAACGAGTGTAGTGTGTAAAACGACATAATATAAAAAAAAAAAACGAATGAAATTTCACTTCCGTAACGCGCGAACATGATCTCCTCCGCAGTGAGATCAATATGGTTGCCTTGACAAGCGAACAATTCGTCGCCAAAACTTCTAACCGCGTTACGCTCGCGCGTGCGTGCAATCTAATTTTCAAAAACAACACGCAATCGTCACCTGCGCGGAGCACAGTCTCACCCGTTTCCCTCGCACTTCCGAAATTCAATTCGCCAACCATGCCCCGAAAATTGAATACCATGGTTGCAATTAACTCTCCAGTCGGGCGCGGCTATCACGCTATTGCACCAACAACTGTTTCTCACGATTCTTCTGCCCACGTGTTCTGATTGTTCAGAAACATCCGAACCGCGTTGCTTTCCGTTCTTACATTTCGACAGATTGTACAGCAGCGGCGGATCTAACACGTTTTCGACACATCGTAGCTTTTTTCTTTAACGCTATAGAATAGAACGTTAAAGTCAGCAAGTTGCGTTGAAATAAAAAATGATAAAAATAAATGGCGGCGCAAACTTTTATTCACAGAGAAGAAGAATCACTGAAATCTCTGAAATACAAGTATCGTAACTGTGAGATTCTAAATTGGCCAGTTTGATCATTTCGATAGTTCTAGCGTTAAAAAGCTAAAACTGATAGACTGATAGTAAAGAGAAACTGCTGTTTTTTTTTCTTTTTTTTTTTTTTTTTTTTTTACCAAAATTTATAAACAAATTACAAACCCAACCAAGAAATTGCAGAGTCTGCGATGCATTGGAAATTATAAAATACGAAATTCCAGTTCGGGTGCCACGTGAAGATGTTAATATCTAATTTTGGGGCCAATAAGTAATTTTGAAATTTACTGTGCTCATTGTCGTGTCATTGTTATATCGTTCTGCTTGAAATTTATATGTTTTACGTCGCCGATGATTTAGTATTTGGTATTTCACGCCTGTGTCATGGACAGATGGCGCGTTTTTGTTAATTTGACAACATATAAAAAACTAGTGGCAAAAATAAAGACAACAATCTGATCATGCATTTAGA